AAACAACCTGACTGAAAGACTTGCATTTAGCAAAAAAATAAATACCCAGTAATGAATATGGATCCTCTCAGACAATGATACAGGCTCTACATATGCTGAATATACTTCTGACCAATTCAAAAGACATCATTATGAAGGTTCTTGTCATCTTGTTCAGTCAGTGTAATGCAAAGCTGATTGATATTGAATAAGTGCAGGTATGGACATAATCTGTCTAAGGAAGTTCCAGAGGGGTTTTTTATGGGATTTACTTCATGCTAGCCATTTTATGATGGCTATTGTTTCTTGTTTAAGGTTATTCTTCACAGTCCTGATAGTATAATTCTGGGCATTATTCATAATCTGGGCATAGTTTGATCTGATTCTATCTGCAAAATGTTATGTATCTCTGTTTAGTGCTATGTAATTATGTCTCTGCAGAAAGACATACTGTTTTTATATTGTTGTTTCTTCTTTCTTTCTTCTTCTTCCAAACACTTTTCACAGGGTGCATATGCATCCTTGAAACTCTTTGAAATTGAAAATGGAATTTCAAAGGCTTCAAAGTGCTTGAAAAGGAGCCTTTTTATGCAAAAGTACTTAACTGTTATAATAGAGGAATATATAGATGTATCTAACTTTTATGCGTGTTGCAGAGTTGAGCACAATAAATAGTCTTCTTTTCTATTTTTGTCTGCATTCATATGTTGAACAAATGAATAGGAATTTTATAAAATATCATGGAATCTGATTGATTTTCATGTAGATTTTAGCTTCCAAAAATGCTTGAAATTGATCAGAGCAGTTCAGTACGAACCATTTCTTGGATTGACTGAACTTGGTAGGATTATATGGAAAATGTATGGTGTTCGTAGCAACCCTAATGAGAAAGGCTGTGAATAGAATATTCTACCATTGTGGTTGAACTGAAGGAACAAAAAGTTGGGCAAACACATCGGGATATAGAGAAAGCATTTGAGACATCAGTCTGGTCATCCATACTCTAAGAAAATACCCATCTCAGAGTGGAAAAAATATCCATCTTGAACCGAAGAACAACCAAAGTTGGTTCAAGTAGGACAGATCTATAACAGGGTAACATTCACTTGTCTTCATGAGAATGACAAAAATACAGGAGGAAAACCCTACAGTGGGATCAAGGAATTGGTTTATGCTATTTTAAAAAGCAGAAAAAAAATCCTAAACAAAGCAGTGCCAAGGAATAGAATGAGCCTTTGTTCAAATGATAGTACTCATGGTGATTACTGAGCATGGATCATAGGCTGGCACAGTGCATGCATGTTAATATGGAGGGGTGGTAGCTTCATTCAAGATTTGTCTTGTACAAAGTCTTCTCAGCAGTAGTGGTGAAATTAAGACACCTCAGGGCCCTTTGACAGTGAATAATATGGGGCCCTCATGCATATTATTTTAGATGTACAAAAAAAGCATTACTTCACAATTAAATTTACACCTTGGTCTACGGATGATTCATTTTCATTTTTTTGTGTATGTACATTTTCAGTTGTCAGTCCTATTTTAACAACATAAATCTTGCTATAAAAATATTTATTCATAATTATAATACAGTTTCAAATAGCACAACAAATGCATGATTTTAATTTGTTTTGAACTTCTTAAAATGCATTACTAGTCTAGTATACTTTGACAAAATTCTGCAACACTCATGCTTTGCATGAGTCCCATAGAACACCATTTGTAATGGTTCTGAATGATGTTTTTTTTTTTATATTTTAATTTTAAACTTAATTTATTGGTATCATTTAGCTGTTAAACTTACCTGAAGTTTGTAAAATTGTTGTTTATTCTTTCTGTTTTTGATTTTATGTCTTTGCAGAGAGAGAGAGAGACACACACACACACACACACACACACACATATATACCATTTTTCTATTGTTTCATTTTTCTTTCTTCTTCCAAACATTTTTCAATCGAGTGCCATTCCTTCAATTCTCAGCATATTGACTTGAAACTTGGTATAGTTAACCTGGGTCAAATATGCCCAGACACCTTTTTTATTTTTCTGATTTAGGTCTTTTTAGGTATTGTATGGGGTCAAAGGTAAAACAACGCCAAAATTTTAATTTTTAGCTCCTTTGCAGCCATATTTACAGCAATCAAGATGTAAATTGGCACAAATATATATTTTCATGCGGCCAACACATTGACATGCAAAAAGTTGGAGTTACCCATTTTGAGTCTTTTTAGTGGGGTCAGAGCTAATAAAAAAACAACATAATTTTTGTGTTTATGGTCAATTATTCAGTCATATTTTGACCAATTTACATGTGATTTGGTACAAAGCTACTTTTGTATGGGTCTCACACATTGACAAACAAAAATAGTGGACTGGCACATTTTTAATAATTATAGGGGGTCAAGATGCCACAAAAAGCATATTTTTATGTTTTTTGACAATTACTTTGTTGTGTTTTAGCCAATTTGCATGGGATTTGGTACAAAGAAACTTTTTTACAGGTTGCAAACAGATATATAGACAATTTTGGAATTTTTGTCGTTTGCTCCATTTTTCAGTGAGGTAAGCATAGTTTGGGGTTTTCATGAACTATTCATGTGTATGTCAACCAACTTGCATCAAATTTGTACAAAGATATCTTCTTGAAGGTCCCAAGCAGTGATATAAACAGTTTTCGCTGTTTCTGTTTTTCACAACTTTTCTGGTATCAAAATTGGCCATGTTGGGTTTGCATGGTGAAGACATGTTACATTTACCTGTGAATATTGGCCTCTTTATTTTATTCTAATGCTTCTTCACACCATAACTGAACTACCACTGAAACAGTCATTTTCATGTGATGTTGCACCGAGCATATCATTCAATTCTGGTTTTTCAGACATGAATCTACTGATCAGTGGTAGAGAAATTAAATGTTATCTCATATGTGAAGACAGTGCAAGCTTCCAGTGATGTGTCTAACCGATTATAGCAATCTGAGAATATCTCTAGATGAGCAGTGTAATGCTGTGCAGTGAGCTAAGGGCTAAAACAGGCCTTTCCATTATTAAACTTGTGATTTATATTTGATAATAACTTCTGTTACGTGTTGGAAATCAAGGTCAATGTTGATCTCATGGACAGTGGACTGGTGATCTTAATGGCAGATAATGGTGATATGTGATGGAGTTGACCTTCCAGTCTGTCTGTCGTAGTCCCCAGTTGGCTTAGCAGTAAACTTCATAGCTTATAATGCTAGAAGTTGGGGTTCAGTTCTTTTGGTGAACAGAGTCCAATTAACCTATTGAGTTGATTTGCACTAGAACAAACAAATACACTTTTATGTACATTACAGCTGCCTGAGAACATGTTCAAAACAATCCCACTACAAACATAGGTAAACCAATTGAACTTCGTCCATTTCTGTGATTGTCTGATGATCAGCATGTAAACAACACTGCAAATATGAACTTCTTACCAAATCCTCCTTAGACAAATTTGTAATTGTGTTCAAGTATAATGTTCTAGTCCATATTAATGATCTGCCTCAAGAAGTTTTCCGTATGTTTACGAATGTATTCAGGTATACTGGTGTCTAACAGATAAGTATACATATATTATTTCACGGTCTCAGATTATCTACTTCATTCATGTATTAAAGTGAGATAAATGCCCAGGCATACTAATTTGTACAAGTCTTTGTATCATCAATTCTCAAGATGAGTATTGACCTCACTTTAGGAGAGAGTAATAGAGAAACAAGGTCAAGTAAGTATTGGTCTTGTTGATCAGTTGCTGTGATGCATAACCTTTGTATGTGCTAGAACTACAAGTTTTTAACCTTTTTTACATCCTGTTTGCAAGGACACTAATGAACTACATACAGAACACTGGCATAGAGATTTAGAAAATTTTATATTAAAATACTTAAAAATCTTACCACATATTAAGGTAGAATTGTAGTGTCTTACAACCATGAATGCTTGTAAGTATATGTCTTCATATCATAATAGATGATTTCTCTCATACAGGTTATTTTAGTAGTTGTTCTACATTGTTTGTGTTTAGAAAGTATTCTAAATAGCTGTAGGTAAGTGGTACAAATAGATCCATTATACATATTTCAATAAAAGTATTTATATGTAAATTTTGTCGTTGTTTTGTTGAGATTCATAATCATTATAATTTACTAATATCAACAGGTTTGCTGCATTTCTTTCCATTAAGTTGTTAAATTTAGGTATTGCTAAAGCATTATAGTGAGTACTATCTAAAAAAATGCAATGCAATTCTCTACATCTTTAGTTATTTGTTCAGTATCAACTATTTATAATAAAAAAAAAAAGGAATACACATTCAAAATGAAATATCATGAATGACATTTTCCTATATTTTTGTCTTTGTAATATGAAATACATCTTATATTGTTTCTTTAGTCAATACACTCATGTTAAGTTAATAACTTTTCTAATAACTGTACTTTCATGCACATACTATTCTTTAGACATGGGTGTGTCCACTGGGGTGGAAACTCATCATTGGAAAGCCCTATTTCCAGCAACCTTCCCCATTTTAGATATCAGGATTGAGTTTTCTAGGATTTTAAAATTCTCCCTCACTGACATGAAAACGTTAATTTTTATTTTGACTGTCAAAGTAAGTCATACTATGGAATTTGAACCAAAAGAAGTTTTTCTAATCAGATGAGACTGAGAGAATGGGTTTACTGGTAGTTTGAAACAGAATCAGATTGCCACAAAGCTGTGCAAATAAAACAGAGCCTGATATAATTTTGGAATTTTTGTTAATTAAAATGAATAAATAGACACATTTGAAGGCAAAAAAAAAGCCTATTTCTTTTATATTTAATGATATTTGACCACCATCCTTCTTGACATAACCTCCATCTAACCATTTTTCACTGCTATCACCCCTCTCCCATTTAAAAATCCTAGAAATGGCACTCTAGACATCATTCAGCAGTGACACACAAGCAGGCCAGATAATCAGAAATATTTCTGTAATAATTTTGTTTTCTTTAGGTTGAATATGATCCTCAAGTACCTCCCAAAACAACGAAGGACTGGTTTGTTTTCAGCTACACAGACACATGAAGTTGATCATTTAATTCGGGTTGGTCTTCGAAATCCAGTTTGTATCACTGTGAAGGAGAAAGGTATCAATGAAAACAATGCAATACGGACCCCATCATCTCTTACAAATTATTACACAGTATGTTAAATTAGATATATCTTTGATATTTTATATTAAGACAATCACAATTTTTGATGGATAAAACTACAAACAATGGAATATTATACCAACTACAGAGCAGATGGTTACTCTTACTGATATACTTTTACTTCAGACCATTTTGAGCTATCATATACTACAAGTTCATGTAAAGCAAAAGTATCTTGACAGTTTAGTCCATTGTGATGTACAATGTTGTAGTATATGCAACTTCTATGAATTTATGAATAGTTGATGTTGAAAGGTTATCTATTTAGATTTAGAGCTTTTGTTTTCACATATATGTGAAACTGTAATAGAGCATTAGATGCGATGATGAGGAACCCACTTTGAGACTAATAATGCTTGGAGACGGCTTGAATGGGTAATGAAGAAAAACTTTAATATAAGTTTAACATAACAGCAAATGTACAATGTTTCGACAAGATTTGTCATCATCAGGTACAAGTAGTTTACACTGACACTGGAACAAAGAGGTCATATGACCGGATATTGTTGCACGACTTAGAAGAAATATCTTGGCACCCCAGGGTGTTGGTTTAGAGTAGGGTTATTTTGTTCAATTAAGATGGATTCCTTGATTTTTCGTTTGTTTATGTTTAGTTCTTTGTTTAAAATTACTATGTTTTTAATAGATATACTATGGTTTTTTGAGTTGCAATGGTAGAAGTCCCTACCAATGAAGCTTGCAATATCGCACTCGACTCCTACGTTAATGATCCCAACAAGTTAGTTCACTTTTTGCTTCTCTATTAGACTTTACAACAACTAAAACCAACTTCATTTTCAACAACAAACATTTCATTCAAATAGATGGTTAAAGTATGGGCAATCCTGTTTCACCTGTTCTTGCTAATATATTTATGACCCAGATCGAAACACAAGCCATACATTCTGCACTTTATCCCCCACTATACTGGTACAGATATGTCGATGACACTTTTGCTGGTTTCACTTCTACATAACACACACTAACTTTCTTTGAACACATAAACTCCAATCATCCCAACATCAAATTTACCATAGAACAGGAAAACAATAAATAGTTATCTTTTCTTAACCTCAACATTATTAGATTGGACACACAGTTTAAAACCAAAATTCACTGTAAGAACACACACACCGGCCTCTACATCCCCTGGAATTCCACTCATGACACCACACAAAAAATCAATATACTGAAAAACTTGATAAACACAGCCACAAAACTGTTCAATGGACTACATAGATGAAGAAATGAACCACATAAATCAATGCTTCATTCATACCAACAAATTTCCACCAGCTATTGTTGAAAAACTCTCCAACATTCACCACAACAAAACTCAAGTCACAAACAAAATTGATATGAACAAACTCAACAACAGAACATTACACATTTACCTTTTCTCCCTGAAACCAGCTCAAGCATAATCCACACTTGGATAAAACTAGCCATTAAAGAACATAAAATTCCTGTCAACATCAAATTCTCTCAAAAACTTGCCCCTAAATTTAAATCGTTACTAAACAAAAATTGTTTACAATCACACAATAGCAATGTCATTATCAAAATAACATACAATAACTGCGCACAATTCTACATTGGAGAAACAGGAAGAAAATCTGAAACCAAGTTCACAGAACACAATAAAAAAACCATCCCATGTTTTCTACCATAGCAACTCAAAAAAACTATAGTATATCTATTAAAAACACAGTAATTTTAAACAAAGAACCAAACATAAACAAACAAAAAAAAAATCAAGGAATCCATCTTAATTGAACAAAACAACCGTACTCCAAACCAACACCATGGGGTGCCAAGATATCTCTTCTAAGTCGTGCAACAAAATCTGGTCATGTGACCTCTTTGTTCCATACTGTATATATATATATATATATCTGTGTCAGTGTAAACTACTTGTACCTGATGAGGATGAAACATTGTACATTTGCTGTTATGTTAAATTTACAAAGTTTTTCTTTAATACCCATTCAAGCCGTCTCCAAGCATTATTAATATCATTAGATGGTTGTCATATCTACCTTAAATTATTTTGTACTGATTCTGAATAATTTATAACGAAGAAAATTATGCACACACAAGTTAGGAGTTCATAAAAACCATGTAATATATCAAGTGATCAAGTAGTCTGTATATTACTAATGAGAGACTTTTAACTTGTGATATATTTGTTTAATTACCCAAAATTGAATGTGAAATGAAAATTGATTAGATGATGGAAAATGACCAGGTTTTGTAGTAACACACTACCATCTTATATATATTGCTAATCGTGATGTATGTCAGAGTGTTTGTTTGTCTCCTGTTTATGGCGGCTACTTCCTGTGCTGCGCTTGAAAAGCTGTTCATGCAGGTGAAGCTCAACATTCACTTTTGAAATGATGGGAGAACAGACATGAATAATATTGATGCCAAATTTTATTTTGCAAGCAGGATATTCTACACTAAATTGTTAGGAATTATCACACTATCATTAACATTTAAAAATGTGAGGTAACTTAAAGAATAAAAATGTAGGTTTACTGTATGTTATTTTTGAATGACTCTTGGTATGACTGAAATGCTCAACAATTACTTTTCATGATGGACAGTATAAGTAGCTCAGAGCTGTGGTTCTAAGTGAAACCAAGAGTGCAACACAGTTAACCTTTTTAAATTCTATGAAATGATTTAAATTAATTTATTAACTTAAACATTTCCCTTCACTGGGGATGCGTACTTTTGCAAGATTAACTTAAACTTTTCCTGTCACTGAGGATGGGTACTTTTGCTTGTGTATAATATTGTAAAATATCACTTGAAATACCTTCTAAAAACTTTATATATATTTTTTTGATACACAGAAATAGTGAATAATCTCGTTTAGCTGGCACTGACTATTCATATCCACAGATAAAGCTTTGAACTAAAAAATAACATATTTAACATTGTAAATATTATTAAGGATTTCTTTCCTTAAAGTACACTTCATTTTCGGTATGGGTGTAGTCCCACTGAAATAAAATTGTAATTACTGTTCATAATGTGAAATGAGCTAATTATTTTAGGTTAAATACAGTAATTTTATTTGTGTTTTTTGTATTACCTTTAACAGAAAGATGCACATAGTTTCTCAAGAACATTATCAATGTACATGTTTTAGGTACAACTGTTTCACAGAATTGTTGTAATATCTTTACTGTGTTTATAAAGTCAAAACGAAAATAATTCAAATTGCTATGTTTTTGTCATTGAAAGTTTTGATGCTTCATATGTGACTGTCAATCTCCTCAGTCATTTAATATGACAATAATTTGATTCTACTTTTCTGAAGCTGACAGTAGTAATAGGAATAACAGTTGACTTATTAGTGTCAGTTGATTATATTCCTCGCATTTTGAGTGGTAAATATTTTATATTTCGGTGAAAAGTAGTTTAACATTAGAAAACCTAAGCTTCTAAGCTGGAATATGTAAGAAGAATTTAACAAATTTAGTATATCATTCTAAAATAAAACAAATATAATAAGATTAGTTATTACGGTTTAAAGAGTTAAGGAAAGGATATATGATAATATTTACCTACTGTCACTACAGGTTAGTTTTCCACACTTCAAATATTTAAATCTTTTTCACATTTTTCACTTTTTGAAGTTTTGTAAGTCATGGAATAATACATACACACACTGAAGAGAGAATAATGTTTTATACTTTGTTAACATACCTATGATAGTAAAGAGGTTTAACCTGTTGCAAGGGATTTTCCAACTGTTGTTTTTCAAGAAAAAATAAATTGGCTAAAGATAGCACAAGTCTTGAGCCCATAGTGACACTGTCAACCTGATCATAAGGCTTTCCACTTAACAAAAATGAGATTCTTTAGTAGTAAAGTCCATAAGTTTCAAAAAGATAGATTTTGGGATGAACATTTCATTGTAGTTGTCATTATAAACCATCTCAGTACTTAACTGTATTGTTTCTTTTAATGGTGTGTTTATATAATGATTCAATGTCAAAATTGGCACAGTGCCCATTACTATCAAATTTCAATTGTTGAATTTGATGAAGAAACTCAAAACTGTTTTTCAAAGTTTATTAATTTGTGGCAATTGTTTTCAAAACATCAACTAGAAAACTAACCAAATCATTGTGGTAAGTGCCAGTGTTCAATGTTATTGGTCCTTCTTTATGAATTTTTAGTAAACCATAAAATATACTGGGATGACTTCCTGATGTTCTAATATTCAAGTACTGTTTTTCATTAAGAATATTTATTTTATTTAGTCTTTAACTCCTTGGCAGTTACCTTGAGACAGTGTCAGGGTAAACCTTACTTTCTGATTCTGCAGTGTTTAGCCCAAGTTATCCTGCTAACTGTGTGCTTCAGCCATCTACTACTGTTTGACATCACTAAACACCATGGAAAGCCAGTAAACACACTTAGAGTTGTACTGTCCTTCTTGCAACATTGGATTGTATGCAGTGATTTGCTTCAAGGACTACTACACCAAATACAAATTCTAATCACTGAAGCCAGATTACAGTTAAATAAATATCAAGGTTTCTTTTTTTATTTCGCATGAATTTATACTAAATTATTTTCCTGCTTCTCAGACTATTATAAAAAAATTGCTAGTTATTGTAGCATATGTAATTCTATTTTATTTTTTTAAATATAAGTAGTACAGTGCACCTACAGGATACGAATATAGGATTTTTAGAAAAGGAAGAGGGGTTTCTGGCTGGAAAGTGGTTGTAGATGGGTTTCTCTATGTCAATTTCCCATTTTTTTTAGAAAAAGCTCTCAAAATTTAGAATCTTGAAGCAATTTCACAAGTTTCATACAATCACTAGCTATTTCTTTTGCTTTATTTATATAATCACCTTTATCTAAAATTACCTTTGTTTGATTTAGTAATAACATTACTATTATTTTTACTTAAATTCTTCTACACTTTGATTAGAAAAATGTTTATATTCATTATTATAATAGTTAAAACCAGTCATAGCTATACAACTGACTTCTAATATTGCATAATTATTGACCAGAATTATTCCAGATGGTTTGATGTGATAATGTTTCCAATAGCTGTTCAAATTGAGTAAAATAATCTTCAAACTTAAGCTTATTAGGAATGCTAAACTTTAAACCAATAGGTAGCACTTTTTCTTTAAATCATTTATAACATACTTAGAAAAATTAAATATTACATTATCAGGTTTTACTAAAAAAATTGTGACATAACTGTCACCTTAAAATGTTTTTCTCTAACTTGTATCAAAATTGTATATTGTGTGTGTTTCAATAAATTGTTTACATTTATTAAAATCCAGATACCACACATTACTTTCAAGTATTTTAAATGTCTGTATAATTTGTCTTGTAAGGGATTTATTCAATAGATTTTTGTTTCATTTAAAAATTAAGTAATTCAATTTGAGTATTATGTTATAACCTTTTAAAGTGTAGAAGAAATAACTTTTAAATGTTTACATTCATTCAAGAAATCTAGATATAGTTAATGTTTCAAAAATTATAAATGTATTTTTTATGCATTTATGTAGAGAGTTAACCCAGGTTTACTGTACATATATTTAATAACTTCCCAAATAAAAAAAAAATTAATATTGAAAAAAAAATAATGTAATTTTGACATGGATTTCCAAGCAGATAGGTTAGGATGTTAGATGGTCCAACCTCATTCTTCTATAAAGAAACAAAAAAGGGCAATCAGAAGTAGAGAAAGAAAAACATTTTTTACTACTATAAAAATAACCCCAATTATAACAAAAAATGAAAATGAATTTATACCACAACACAGTACAATAACAATAATTATTATTCTGACATTATATAAACCTCAAAAACTAAAGTTAACTAAATAAGCACTGAAGCCTCTTCTTCTAAGGACAGAAAAAGCACAAGAAGCAAACTAAAAACTAAAACCTACTATTATGCAGTAAGTATAAGTCTATCATCAGATGAATAGAGAGTCTTTTGATTCAAAAGCTGAGGCCTGAAATCAATTTGATTATTTCTGCAAAGAAGCTGTTATTAAGGCTTAAGATATGATATTAGATTTGTGGTTATAAATTTACATTTTTTGACATTACTTAGTTGTTGTGATGTTACAATATACGAGTAACAGTTAAAGCTAATCAGCAGTAGTAAGAGCCATTAATTAGATTGGTATAAATCTTTATTTGCCACTTACATCTAGTTTTAAAATGGTTTTTATCACATCATCAAAGTATTTGAAAAATAGGGCTGATTGCTTACTTTATGTTATTCAAGTGTAATTTTCATTGTGGAAAAAAGTGCTTAAAAATGTCCATCAAGATAGTTTGTGATTGAGCTTTCTTGACTGCACAATAACTACATAAAATTTTATTCTAATTTTTATTACTTGAAATAGTGTAATTTGGGTTTCATATGTTAATAAGAAAGTGTTAGTACAAAGCAAAAGTGTTTTAACTTATAAAATTGAGAAAGTAAACTAGAAAAATAAGGAATCTAGTGGCATGATTTAGATTGTCTCATATTTCAAACTTACACATAGTCACTACTTAAATAATCTATATTAGACTGTTCATTTTATGACAAAAAACAAGCTGACAACTAAACGTTTGTAATTAATTTATTATATAATCATAGTTCCACTCAATTTGCTGGATATTGCTCTCAGTAAAACTTCTGACCAACCTGTGTATGTAACAAATTACTCCTTGGACTTGTATTATGAAAGTGCTTGAATAGATATATTTTTTGAGTTGAGATAAAGTTTCATTCCAGGTACACCACATGCATCTCTTTTTAAAACTAAGCTTCTTTGCCATGTGCCATGATATGTTTTGTATATTTACAATAATTTCATTTAACTCAAAGTTTGCTAATTCTAAGTGAATATTGATCCATGCACGTACTGCTTCAAAGAAGGCATTAAACTGTTTTTTTGGGGGTTGTAGGAAATATTTAAGTTGATTATTTATTCTTTGACATCTAAGTTTCATTTTATTACTCTAATTTACTTAATGTTATAATTAAATATAATTAACAGTTAATGACTACTAAACATTCCAACATAGACTAGCAGACTTTTTGTTTTGAGTTATTGTAGTTTTTGTATGTGTAAGGTCTTTGTTTTTATATTTCTAGAAATGGACTAAATTGGGCGTGTTTCAGACAAAGCACTGGTGAACATTTCTGGTTTCTTCACTAACAAATAAAACAGTAATAATTCAGAATAACATAGCATTTTACTAAGTTGTTAATATAAAATTCTAACTCTAATGTTTCATAGATTTCAGTGAATTGCTTTTGCTACAAAAATCACATGTAAAAAGTTTTTGAAATGTGAATTATTCATGTTCTTTCACCATCTTGTCATAAAATTTTCATTATTCTCTGTTTTATAGATTTGTGATCCTAATCAGAAATTCAACTGTTTAGTGTCATTTCTTCGTGATCATCAGCAAGAGAAACTTATTGTGTTTTTTAGTACTTGTGCTTCTGTTGACTACTTTTCTAGACTCCTTGAAGGGTACGTTTGACTCTTTTTTTTCTTTTCGGTTTTAAGCTGAGTATCTTGGAATATAAGTCGCATATTTTTCTTATGTTAATATGTAACTTAAATGGTGGAGATACTATAAGTTAATGTTGAGTAGGGTTGTAACCTTGTAAACAAAAAAAAACAAAATATACTATTCTGATAGAAATAACTTCAAACTCCTGAAGTTGAATATGCTTTGACTATTGTTGCAGTTACATCATCAGTCCAAAAAATAATGTGCTTAATATTATTTGTTGTTATTGTTTGACAATTATGGTTTAGAATACTGAAGAAACTCACCATAATCAGCATTCATAGAAAGATGAGGAAAAAACGTCACAACCTGCTTAAGAACTTCAAAGATCTTAATAGGTAAGAAAGCTAAGGCTAATCTAGGTTTAAAATTATTTTTTGCTTTAAATTTGAAATGTTTATACAAATACTAAAAAAAAAGAATCTTTTAAATTAGACTGTAATAATTTTTTGATACTTATTATAAACAAACTATTTAAAATGTGTGTTTTTAATTTATCAAAGTGTTAGGAAAGTCTGTTTGAATAATTTTACTGGATTCGTCTTACTAAAATTAATAACTGTGACAAAATACTCAGTTATTTGCTTACATATTCAAACACATTCAATGAATAGGTATGTAAAATTTTTGAGTTAAGATAAATTTTCCTTCCATGTGTATCACATCCTTCATTTGAACCAAAGCTGTCTACCATATGTCAAAATATTATTTTTAATTCACCATTTGATATTAGGAGATAATTCCCTGTTTCTCTTGAAGTTTTCAATCCTGTCAACTTAAAGCCAATACTGTTATAGACATTATCACCATGACAATCAACATAATTAAAGGTGACTTGTCCATGCTTCCTAAGACCAGTACTAAGTAGCTGTTCATCTTGGAGTTAAAATTACACCTTGTGGTACACCTTTTAGAGTATTATATTAAATTCAGTTAATTCAATTGACAGTTACTTTTTTGTTTGTTTTGTTTTCAGACAAGAGCAATGTCTGAAAGTCACATTAGTAGTAACATAGCAGATGTACTAACAGAAATGGTGAATGAGTGGGGCCTTTCAACAAACCCTCTACTTGTTACTGACAATGCCTTAAACATGAGAGTAGCTGTCATTGAGTTTGGTTCAGAAATACATATTGGCTGTTTTTCACACACACTGTAAACTTGTCTTGTAGAAAATCTTTGAAAATCAATTTAGTATCTGGACTCCTGGCTTAAATGAGAAGAGATTTGGCATATTTTCATAAGAGTAGCACTGCAACAGCAGTTCTCAAATATAAGGAGAAGGTTTTCAAAGTACCAGAGCACAAATGTATATTTGATGTCCAAACAAGATGAAATTTGGCACAGTACATAACTAGGTTCGTGAAGCTGTGAGAGAAGGAGAAAGATGTTGCGACCTTGAGTAAAATGGATACAACATCGGTAGAAGAGCTAATTGTTACTCTAACACCACTCAAAACAGTGACAACAACATTGTGTGAGAAAAGTGTCCCAACTATATCCATAGTTCTACCCCTGCAACACCAACTAGTGAATTACAAAATGGGTGATGATGATGACACAGAGTTAATTAATCTTGTTAAGCATGTAGTGGTGGATGATTTATCAACCAGATACCATGGAATTAACAAAGAACTGACATTGGAAACACTTCTTGATCCATGCTTCAAACTGTTCATGCTCTTGTTTCCAGATACTCAATTATGAAAGCTGACACTACCAAGTAAGCAAGAAAATGAGGAAGCTGTAATTGTTAAGCCTAGTGCAGTGTCCAGTCTATTTGGAGATGTGCACATAATCAGAGTAGATAAGCCAAAATGAAATCAAGAAATCTGTGAGAGTGAGATTTCTAGTATAGGAACAAGCAGCCCATAGGCTCGGGTGAAAATCTCTTAATTTGGTGGAGTAAGAACTGTGACAAATATCCCATCCCACTCTGGCATTACTTGCAAAGAAGTATCTGTATCCTGGACTTTTATGTCTAAGCATTTTTGACAGCAGGTGATATAATCACTGCCCAGAGGTTTGCTTCAAAGTCAGAACATATATTCAGGTTGATTTTCCTCAAGAAGAACTGAAAACTTTAAATATTTAGATAAAAGATTTCAATTGATATTGTTTAAATACACAAGTTCAGTCAGTTGTTTGTATTGTATTAAGCTACTTTTGAAATCTTAAGGTATATGATTTAAATAGACATTATTTTAAACTTTAAATGCACTAGTTTAGTCAGTTGTTTCAATTATTAAAATTGAAATTATTTTACAATTAATTTTTATCATAGGTACTCACTGATTATTTCTGTAGTTGCTAGTTATATTGAGAGAAATTGTTACTCTACTAGATGAAAAGATTTCTTTTTCCATTTTAGATTAGAGCTTGGCAATTTAATTGATTATCTACAAGCAGTAGGGTTTCTGAATATTTAGTTTTTGGATTAATCCAACTATACGTAATAAAAATATTGCCATTTTGTTTGTTTGTTCTTAAACAGAAGGCTACATAATGGAGGGGGGTGCTTCTTGATTGGAGGGTCTTGGGCTCAATTCCCATTACCACTAAACTTTCTCACTCTGTCTTTGTTATTGTAAAGCTACTAAGGCTATTTGCCCTCTGTCACTAATTTTGAACTGCTGACTAGGGGTGAGGCAACTGGCTGGGAGTACCTACTGCCAACTCTCTGGCTACTTAAGTGTTAAATAAAGTGTAAAGTGAGACGTCCTTACCTACCTTATAGTATCAAGAAGAGACATTACATGCTAGTGTTTTTATTTCATTAGGCTGATAATGTTTTCTGAAATCAACATTGCTGGAGTCTACAGCAATCCAGTTAAGGCTTCAGCCAGTAACTGAATACTTGAAAGTTAATTAAATATTGTTATGGTAATTTTTTTTGCCTTTCCTTTTTCAAGACACTAACAATGTATCTAGTTGTTTAGAAATTTGTTTTCATTAAAGTTAATGCTGTTTAGATACCTGCAGCTCTTTTAACATAGACTTATTACAGAATCAATTTTTCATATTTTGTGTGTTAGAATTCACATGAAAAAGATGGGTTTTTTGTATTGTTTATGTCTAAAGTAAGTGAAAATGCAAAAGATATGACTGTATAAGTAATGACTTTAAATGTTTTTTTTTAACAGACATCCTGTTTACCAGTGCTATAATTTTCTTTCTAAATATGATTATAAATAATTATAACAATTTAAGTTTAAAAAAATTTAAATGTTTGTTATTAACCATTTTATTTTCATATCAAATATGCTACTAGGAATAAAGTTCTAAGCTTTGAAATTGGTGGGATATAACCTGAGCTAATTATTTACAGAATACATTAATATTATTTTAATTTTGTTTGACTTATTTTGGTTGCTTTATAACTATATGGTCAAAATTTATTTATCCAAAATACTATATTTTATTGTGGAAGTCTTTTTTTTTTCATGTAATAAATACTAAACATTTGGTTATAGTGTTACACAGCTTTTAAAAAGTTAACTGGTATCATATCATTGTAAAAATGTAACAGTACTGCAGATAGCATGAAGATAAACATTGTTACCGGTTAGAAAATATACTATATTATCTGAATACACCCTATACAGTTTTATTCTTATTCATTTCCTAATGGTTTTCAAGTTTATTAAGATATAGCTATAACTATCAATTTTTTAAAACCAAATAAATTGATTTTATTCGAAGTTTTATGTTGTTTGATTTTAAATTTAGGTTTCTTGAAGAATATCAAATAGTACTAGGATTTTACTTTGGCTAAGTACTCATTTGCCTAAAAATAAAATTAGTTATGATTATTCATTTACTATGATTTGTTACAAAGAGTTTGAGCAACTTTTAAAATAGCTATGGAAATAACATTTAAGATCCACCCTAAAATTGTTGTAAACTAAGTGGTGCTAGATTTCCTAAAATGCATTAAAAAGTTTTATGTTTAAATGTTATTATATCAATTAAAAAAAAACTGAGAATGTAGTGTTATTACTTTCTTGTTCAGACAGCTTTATATATAATACTGCATATTACTGTATACTGCATGTAAAAAATAGTAAAGTAACATGAAATACAATTGCATCTTGGGTACCATAAAGGCCTATTTTGATTAGACATTGAACATTAATCATATTATTAAAGAATTGTGTGTTATCACTAAGGGAATAGCGTATGTTTACATAATTGTTTATCTGTTCCTCACACTCTTTCACTCCAAATTCCCTGCACTAGATCTAGCAGGATGCTTCATTTTGATATGGTTTAACTTGTTTCCATAATGCACTTGTAATTAAGCTCTGCAGAGCATACCTTATATTTTACTTTTTGGCTTTGCTTATTTTGATCTCTTGCAGATGACATTGCTATATCGTGGTCAGTTTCACATCAATTTATTTTATCTGTACCTAGTTGGAGATTATGCTAGAGATGTGTCTGTAAAGTAGTTCCAATTAAAAGTGATTAAACTATAATTGATTGCTATATTGGAAATCTAACATATATATATATATATATATATATAATCATAATGTAATGTCTTGTTGTCACAGTCTTGTATTCCAATTAGCAGTAATATCTATTTGTTAAATGTATCATTTATTAGTAATATTGATAGTTATAGTAACATAGGGAATTTGTTCAAACCTGAGTGGCAGCATGATGTATTTTTACAAATGCAAGGTTAAGGTGAAACATGAATCTTATTATCTGCCAATAATGCCATGTGACAAAGGTAGGAAATAAACAATGAAAGAATCTCTACTAACCTTAGTTGCATACTATTTCACTTGCACATTTTTAAATTTTAAGAGATTAAGCAAAATTCAAAACATTTTACACTAACGTTTAATTGTTTATACTCTATACTTATTAACATTTATTGTAAACATGCTTATAAATATGTAAGAAAATACTAAATTGTCTGGAATAACAAACCATGAAAATGATGATACAAGATATTGTCCCTAATCAGTGCCCCCTCTCTAATTACTCTCCCCCTACCCTGGTCAGCAATTAATACTGGTAAATAATAATAGACCATGATTTTCCTGCCTTTTTTTGCTGTAGCAGAAAGCTTCAAAGATACTTTGGTGGTGCCAATCAAAGGAGGTTACCCAGTACATGGCAGGACCACTTCCCAGGGTTTTTTGACACTTATAAACAATGATTACCATATTTACTGTGATAGTGAGCCATGATGTTTATAGCGAGGTTACAAATAAATAGGCTATGTTTGCTACCGTTTATTAGAGATATATTTGTCTATAATAGAGGTATTATCATATAACCCAATTAGTCTCTAATTAGCACCCCCCTTTTTTCAGTTTGCATTGGGGGCTATAACTAGGGGCAATACGGTAGATTTATTTTCACCAAATGTTAGAGATTGAAGCTTGGCAGTTTAAGCTAAACTAACTTGTATAATCAGTCCCAGTGAATCATAGAGTATTTACCTCTATTACTAGTTAAGAATACTTTATCGGCTTGTTTGAATAGTTATCATTCTTTTTCATTTCACATGCAAAGATTGTATTGTAGCCTTTTTCCTGTGGCTAGAAAATAAAAGTAAACAAATTGTGTGTCGTAACTTTTGTGATTATAATAATTCAACATAAAAAAGTTAAAGTTGATTCTAAAAATGTTTAAATTAATTCAACAAATACATGCATATTCTTGATAGGCACTCAATTATACAGTTGATTTGTTTAATGCTAGCTGTCCAGTACTATTGCAATAGTGAACAATGACAACAAAAACAATACTATCACAATTTTTTCATTCATCAATAGTAGTAGTATCACCATAGTCAAAATCTGCCTCAATCGTCACCCCTTTGTGGCATTAAGTAGAGTTAAATCAATTTGATAATCATTGTTCAAATTGAATCTGTATCTTTTACTCATAAGTTTAACTGTATAATGAGAGTATGTAAATTCTTGTTCAATGTATATTTTTTATTGCTATTATACATAAGAAATTAATTTAAGGTAGAATATTTGTGAGTTTGAAAGGAATATATATTAGAATGTTTGTGTTTGAAAAGAAAAGTTTTTTGTTTTTTCAGTAAATTATTTCTGAAAAATATGCCAGACTGCTAGGGTAATTTCATTGTGTGGGTTGAAACTGCATCCATGTAAAGCTCAACATATAGGCTCATCTGTTTAAACAGGATGATTAGGTTACATCTTTGTTTCTACAATTAGGCTTACAAATTTTAAAATGTAATAAAAAATATTGAAACATCTGTAGACTAATGAGTTATGTCAATATTACTTCCAGCAAAAAATTAAGCCAGTTAATATGCAGTGTACTCACTTGAAAAAAAATTTAACTGACTATAATTTTTAATTCAAGGGTTACATATTAATATTAACTTTTTTAAGAGACTTTTTATGACTAAGAATAATGTTCATCACATCTTGATATATCTAAAGTATAGTAGTAACAAAATAATTTGACTGTTTCAGAAATATGTTCATATACAATGTATTTCACATTTAATCATATTTTTTGGTAATGGGTTTTGTTGTTTGCTGGGTTTGTTTGAATTATTCAGTAAAAAAGGTAATGGAAAGTCCAGTCAACTTAACAATAACACAAATTGTTTCTTTATTAAAATTCCATATTTATCATAACCAATTCACTAATAGGCCTTTTTGCACAAATAAATTTGCTAATTTTGTATATCCATTTCTTTGTTAAAACAGAAACTCAATATTCTTCCCAGTACTATGTGTTTGAACAATGTGGTAACATGAACCATGATGTAACAACCACTTAATCACTTGGAATTCTCTGTGACATCTATGTAAATTTATTTTTGCCATTTCGTATATCATAGTGAAATTTATTTATTATTTTCAAGATATAGTGTAATATAAAACTTTATTAACCCTAGAATTATGAGAGGGGTATCTAAACACTTTTTTTTAACTATTCATTTCCCAAATTGTTTGTGGTACTATGACTATTGGTTACAGGACATTTTCAGAAAATTCTAGATTGTTAAATGTATGTATTATGAATCCCAATATGCATGTGTGACTTTAAAATGTAATATCTAGTGTGTATTAAGTATGTCTTGTGAAAGAATACAAAGATATTTCAAAAGTGATTCATTCATCACTTCTTTATTGTAAAATTATATATATTGAAACACTTTGTTGTGTACTTTGACAGAATTTACCAGCTAATAAATTTAAAAGTCTTTGGTATTAAAAAGATAAAAAGGCCAATTTAAGTAAACTTTCTTTTCATTTGCCTTGAAGCTACTGGGGAGCAGAACCTTTCTTAAATTTTTGGGTTTTGCCCTGCGAGCTCCCCATTTCTTTTTCTCACTCAGATTTTGATCAACTTATCTGTAGTTCAACAATTCTTTATTGGATTACAGGAAAATACCAGAATTTTAGCATTTTTTTGTTCTCTTGAGTTTTTACTATTTGTTTTAGTTGTGTGTATTTACTTTTGGTATTATTAGATCTTGTGAAGTTCTTGTATTTTATCAGAACTTTTTAGGATGTAAAGATAATTATAGCTTTTACATGGTATTTAGATGTTGTATGATTTAAAAAAAGTATCAAATATTCAAGCATATTCTATAAAAACAGTAATGATGAAAAATATCCTCAACCTACATACTTCATAATATTCTATCAAGAAAATTAAATTTTTTGAAAAGCTGTGTATAAGAAATTAAGGTATAAAATCAGTGACCTGTAAACTGTAAGTTTGAGGTCAGTTATAAATATCACATATACTTATTATACTGTTGTGAAATAAATTAATTTCATTTCATTAAAGAAGTGTACTTTATTTATTAACGTGTTAAATACTGGAAATATGGTGCCTGCTTTTAATTTTTTAAAACTTTAATAGTTAAGTAAGATGTGTAGTGATGTGTGTAATAACTGTTGAGAATACACTGTTTAGTTAAAATTCTAACTGAAACTATGAACCAATAACTACTCCTTTTTTTAGAGGAATTCTACTGTGTACAGATCTCATGGCTCGAGGTATTGATGTACCAGATGTCCACTGGGTTGTTCAGTATGATCCCCCTTGCTCAGCAAGGTCAGTTTTTGTAAAATACTTTATTTCCATTTTGTTTGTTTTTCCCTCTTAAAGTATTGTATTATAACGGACATTTACATTATATATGTATAAAAGTGGCTGTATAAAAATTTAAAATTGATACAAATATTTGAGTAATAATCTTATTTACAACTGTTTTGTAACTGTGAGATCTAGTTTAAGGAGACATGGTATGTATGAAAATCAATATCTACTCTAGCAGCAATTCGTACTATTACTTTTATATGTTTTGATAAATTGTTTAATCAATGAAAAAGTACTTAATACAGTGAGTATTCAAACATTTGTCTTTTTTTTTTTTACTAACGTATTTTAAAGTGTTTTGTGTTGCCATTTTCATGTGAATGTATTCATGGTAGATTTATCCTGTATTAACTGGACACCTCATTAGGATCATATGGCATTGGTATGGCTTGTAGTTGGTGGTATCTACAATCTTAAAGTTTATCCAAAACCTTCTCAATTGGATTGAGACCTAGTGATCTGGCTAGCTAAGAAATATTACAGAAATTGTTGCTGCTCTTTTTGTAACATTTTTCAAGACTGTAAACATGAGCAAATTATTACATTATTATCTAGGAAGAGTGCTTTTCATTCATTGCAGTAATGCAATATTCTGGGGATGATATGAATAGCAGAAATGTTCATGTACAGCTTGGATGTTATTATTTATTATCTTTCTAAAGTGGTTCATGTGCATTATGCACCTCAAGAGGCAGAGAGTTCGTGAGGCACCCAAACACCTTTATGGAGTTTTCCCATATTCCTAAGATATTTACGCATTGTTTGATGAGAGACATGCAATTTGAGGGTCATTTCATGAGTGTGTTACCTTGGGTTAGACTAAACAAGCGTCTTCAGAGCATCAATACCGATTCCAACATGTCCTGCCCCTGCCATCACAGTTTTTAAGGCTAAAGTCACCTGAATGAAATTTTCTGAACCATCATTAACACTTATGAACGTTCAAAACATTTCATAAACTTCTTTGATATTCTTTGTGGCTACAGTGGTGTTGTTTCCCTTCTTGTATTCAAACATCATTACATGCCGAATGTGTGTCTCGTCGTGTGCCATCACTATAAGGGATTAGAGTATACTAAATTTACACATTATATAGGCTACACTAATGTGACGTTTAGGCGGTTCATATAAGTATTATACGTGATGTACGATTTTTTGGGGGTGGTTAATGAAAGTGCTACAAATTGCGACATTAATTTCTTAATAATGCATGTGTTAGACAGTCAATTGTCTCGATCCAAAGGTATTCTCCTGACAGGATCAGTTGGATTGCCTCTCATTTTGCAACCCTAATTGGTAGGTTGTCCTCTCATTGGATCACCCAACTACTGGCAATTTGATCTCCAGTACCTCATCTTTGTACCTTGACACTAGATGCTTTCCATCTGGCCAGGATGGGATTACCACTTTCAGTCTTCTCCCCACTTTATATGTTACCAAGGTTATGAAATTTGATTTCTTCCAACCCATTGTCAGATCCTGTTGATTGCACTAGATTGGCAGCTATACCGGGGTTTCTGCTTCTGCAGTACCTTCTGGTGCCTTTTGAGGTAGATTCCTGTACATGATCAGGGGACCTTCAAGAGAAGGTTCTGTACTTTCAATTTACCCACTTTGGGATCTGAACATCCACCCACGTGTTTGCCATGTGTGGTGACCCATGAAGAGGAGGAGAGGATCCTGGTAGTTGAGTGGTGTCTGGGGCACTGCAACACACCACTTTGGCTTTCAGTTCTTTTAGATGGGTGGCCTTGGACTGGCCCCCTCATGGTCAATTGGCTGGTCCTGTTGGGCTAGGGTTAACTGAGTACCAGCGGTAGGCATTTTCAGCTGGTGTTGTGGACATTGTTTCTGATTCTGGTGTTTGGGTATAGTGTTCACGAAACCCTGGCATTGCAGCAGTGTTCTTGTTTGGCATTGTAGTGCATCCCCTCATAGGACCTCATGGTGGGTGTGCTCAGTGGGCACTGAATCTTTCTCCTTATATTATGATTCCCCAAATCCTAAAAAAAGAAAAAAGTTAAAAAACAGCTTATTGGTAAATCACCACGCATCAAAGACTTTGCTCATCAATCTTCAACTCATCTTCATTCTGTACCTCATTTTTTGATCTTGCATTCCCTGTCTAAAAAGCCTTTAGGGCAAATGTCTCCCTTTTTTATTCAGAAGGGATTAGAGGGGCTTGCTGGCTCTCCAAAGTCAGTTAAGAAGCTACGTTCTGGGGACATCTTGGTAGAAACATCAACACCAAAACACAGTGAACTCCTCATGAACTCAAAGGCCATTGGGGATATACCCATTGAAGTAAAAATGGACACTTTGATACAGTGGATCTGTCGAGGTTTTCGTTCTAATATGGATGACTTCCTATTATCCCATGTGTCTTTCCTTACAGGAAACATTCCTGAAACATACTGATACAGTCACCTTTAAGCAGTTTTCTTTATAACTGAAAGACAGGTTGTGGGATGAATGAGTGCATGGAGGGGTGGCACTGCTGGTCGATCAGCACTTGCTCACCTTGTTGGTGTTACTCTACACCCTTGGAGGCTGTAGCCATCTCTGTTTCTTTGGGTTTTACCAACACTCTTTATTCTCTATACTTGTCTCCTGGAGAGACTTATCAATCAGACCTTGATGCTTTCATTGAACAGTTGCCATCTCCCTTTGTAATCCTGGGAGACTTTAATGGACACAATCTCCTCTGGGGTGGTGCTGATATTGATGGGAGGGGGTCATTCCTTAGAGTCAGATCTTTCTCTCTTCCGTACTGGTTCCTTTATCTATTTTCATGAACATAGTCAGTCTTTTACTGCCATTGATCTATCTGTCTGCTCCCCTTCACTTTTCTTGGAGGGTTGACAGTGATCTTTTTCCTATCATTTTGAGGGAGATTGGCTGTGGTCGATGGCACCCTACCCAAGTGTCACAGCGGTAGTTGGATCAGGCTGACTGGCACTCTTTCTAATTCAGATTGTTTGGGCTGTATGCTGAATGGTTCCTTTGGAGTTTCAATGGGGAACTTGACTGTCAAGTGGTATTACTTTGATTTCAGTTTCTTTGGAGATCTTTCTTATGAAACCACTTGATTTCTAGGTTTTTTTTGGTGGAAACGTTTGAGAATTCTAAGTTTCAAATCCTTATTTATTATCTTGTTAATAGTACAAAGAGATATGCTCAGCTTCATTGTAGTGGTTTCAGAACTAATTATTGTCCTGAATTTTCTGTTGTGCAAGTACTTGCATTTCTGTGGGGATCGCTAAAGCCTTGACACATATACAAGTTTACCTGTGATGGCGCAGCTCACTCTGATGGTCAGAAATTCACTGTGAACCTAATATAAACTGAATAAACATGTCATCTGTGACACTGTGCTTTTAACTTGATGGCATATTAGCATATTAAAATAATTTACATTGAGTGAGTAACCTGCTATGGAACTATAGCTTGCACTATGTGATACATTATTAAGGTCATGGATTTTTTTAGTTTTGAAAATTTTTATAGTATTTCATTGGATAGTACAGGTAACATTTTTACATTTCTATTTCAGTTACAATAATAACTATAACACAGGAAAAAGGTTTCTCCAAGTAACATTTGTTTCCCAGTGGGACAGCTGTAAGTCTATGGATTTACAACTCTAAAATCAGATTTGATTTCCCTTGGTGTACACAGCAGATAGCTGATGTGGCTTTGCTATAAAAAAAACACGCAACAAAGTAAAGTTTTAATGAAATTACTTCAGAGCAGCAATAAATTTTGAAAACATAAATGTAAATTTAAAGAATGATCTCACTTTTATAAAGAAAAATCTCAACATTGTAGAGAATACATAAAGCTCAACTTTCATGGAGAGTTAAAAATTAACCTTGAAAAGATCTGTCTGTGAAACAATAGGCAAAAAAAAGAAAATTAAACAAACTTGAAAATAACTTGAAAAATTCTAAATAAAATGAACATTAGAAAAAACTTAAAATTAGTGATAAAATGGAAAGTACTTCACAGCTTAAGACCAAGAAAATACATTGATGAGTACAGAATAGAAGCATCACTTAAAGAGGTGACATTCACAGAAATGTTCACAACACTTGATGGTGGGAAAAAAACATTGGTTTTATGAATTAATAATCAGAATTTTTGTAGTTGTTATGTATGAACATGAAGTAAACAAGATTTAAACATCATGCAGAACGTGAGCCAAACGGGATTTGTTATCCAAATTTTTGGTAATCCCTTCAGTCGCATAGTTTTTACTTTTTTTTTTAAGTTTTTATTTTCATTATACTATTTATTTGACCAGTCTTATTTTCAGATTAACTTCATTGTCTGTTAATTTAATATTTCAATGTAAAAATATTATTCAGGATTATTTTTATCTCTGCATACAACTTGGTTGTATAATACTATACTGGGAGATTCATATTATTCAACAGTGCCTTTGTTCATCGCTGTGGAAGAACTGCCAGAATTGGAAACAAAGGACAAGCACTACTGTTGTTGTTACCCACAGAAGAAACGTATATAAGTTTTCTCCAACTGAATCAAAAGGTATATGTCCTTTCTGTATAAAAGTACAAACTTATGAAAGATTGTACCATTAACAGCAAGCATTGGAACAAGTTCTTATAATTTACAAGATAATTTTGTTGTTTTATATGTGTGGTGTTAATTTATATATGCAATGTAAGTCAAAGATTGGATATACAATGATTATAGAGGCTTAATTACTAACTTAGATTTGATCTACCCCAAATAGTGTAATCATAATAGATGTATAGTGCTTTGCATGATATTTTTTGACATTCTTGTGACAATGTAGGTAATTTTGGAGAAGAAGGACCTGGGAGAGACATTTTTTAATGTTCTACCTAAAGTGAAGAAAATGAGCATGCGAGACAGGTTTGTCATTAGTAAAATTATAAAAACTGCATATATGTAATTTATTAGTTTTATAAATGTAATTTGCCATCCCATTGTTCAGTGAGGTTTAAAGGATTTCTGATTCTTTTTTTTTTTATGATGAGAATTATTGTTTTTGGTATAGGTGTAAATCCATGGAGAGAACATAAAATACCATATATTCAGACATATTACAGAACTTGTGAAGTCTTCATATTTGTATAATTTAAACTTATGAATACTTTTTCCCTTTCATTTGGGCTTTCAACTGATTGACAAACTCATTAAAGAGACCAAGATGTCAATATTTCTTCTGTGATAAGGTGCATGGCATCTCAACAGCTATTTTGTTGCCTTCAGCAAGTACTGTGGTTTTGCCCCAAATTCTGTCATAGTAAGCAGCATCCTTGCATTTTGATGTAAAAAAAAAAGTAACTAGAGAGTAGGTTTGATTGGGAGCTCTTACAAGGTTACAATCTGGGCTTTGCAAAACATTGGATAGAGATGTTAAATATTTTAAAATGCTGTAGCAGACAGAGAGTCCTGTAATAGATTCAAAGGAATGTGCAGTTTTTAGAAAAGGCACAGTTTTTGAAAGTACTGTTGTATCTTTGAAATTATCTGTAATGGACTCTACACTGTCTGCATGCTGGGATCAACATGTTTTGTAGAATTTTTTAATTCTATGTCCATCAGCGTTACTGTCTAAATAAACCTGCAGTTGTTGAGATGATGAGATAATGAAATAGAATTTCATCTCAATATTGTACGTGTTTCTAACTTGAAGAACTTTACAGGAATGAAATATAGTGAGGTTTAAATTATGGTTTCTGCAGTAACCAAACAGTAATTGGATATTGTTTTCAAACCCTAGCCCAGTGATGTTCCCACCATCATCATAGCTCTGACCATTAATGTTCTTAGCATCCAAATGAAATTCTGTCAGTTTTTTTGGTAACAACTGTCAATGTGTTTCTGTAGTATTTCAGGTAGTCTCAAAAGTCTAACACTGTGCTTGCCATTCATATTCTTTACATGTCTGATGCACACTGCAAATTGCTCTGTATTACTAATATCAGCTAACTTGTCTGCAAGTACTGAAAAGGACTTTGCATTTCTACAAACATTCAGAATTTCTTTCCTAATTTGATTACCAAAAAGAAAAACTCCTTCCGAGTCTGATGGCTTTTTGTCTGTAATGTTATTTCTAACACATTTGCATGTACACTCTGATTACATTGCTTTCATTGCTAGGCACACAGTCTGCATTTTCACAGTCAATGTGACTGACACCTGCCCTGTGTACTAAACTAGGATTGTCATCAAATTTCCTCTGTTTTTTTTTAGTACTTTTGTCTAGACTTTTACTTTCTTTTTTGCCTGAACATCAAGAACTCTTCTCTGGTTGTTATTGTTGTTGAAGTCATTTACTTGTTATATGTTTATCAAACTGTATACACTGATGGATGATATGTAAATGGATGCAGTTCAACTGACTGCAAAACTTATTAACATAAAAAAAATAATTCAAGAGTCTATTAACATATGCAAACAGCACCCAACCACCACCTCAGTTTGATAAATTTAATTATTAGAGCAGCATTTAAAAGAGTCCCACTTAGGTAGAATTTTGGTTTCTGTCTACATATTTTTCTATTATTTGAAAATACTGACATATTTGTTTTTGGAACATTTATTTTAATTATGTTCTTTTGACAGTATTGTACTATTTCATTTAGAACCAATTGTAATTTTTTTGCTGATATTGAGGGAGTTGTGGAACTCTTCCAGATTGGTACATCATTTGTGAATTGAGATGTTAGACAAAACATTGGTTTTATTAACAGCATATTGCTTACATATGTGATGAAAAGGATAGGGCTAACTACTCCTCACTGGGAAACATCTGCCTCAGGAGCAAAACACTGAGTAAGTGCCCTCTGCATTCACTCTACATTTCCTATTATCTAAGAAGTTGGATAACCAGTGAATAATACCTGTTGATAACTCCATTTGCTTCATTCTGTACTGAAGTCCATTAATCCATACAGTGTTGAATGCCTTCTCTATATAGAGAAAGCAGGTGACAGGGCATTTGTTTTGATTACAGCTATATATTATGGTTTCAGTTAGTGTAATTATGTGATCCATTGTTTGCCAAAATATTCTGAAATTGTTTTGTACTTTAGGTAATTTTAAATGTTATCTCTAAGAATGATGAAAGTCTGTTACTAATTATTCTTTCTAAAATTTTGCCTATACAACTTGTTAAGCTAGTTGGTCTATAACTTAATGGTTTACCCTCTTGCAGAAACATAAGAACATTTGTTTGCTTCCAAGAGGCTGGGATATAACCTGAAATTAGGGATAGGTTAAATAATAATGTTAAATTATCAAACAAATTATCAATTATCATATATTTATATATATATAATTTTATAAAATTTAAGCAATTTAGATTGAACATTTGTGGTTTCTTGTTATAATTTTTAGTCATTCTAGAATGAAAAAGTGTAATTTATATCTGTTTCCGAATTTTTATGTTGGTTATGAGGTATGTCAAATCAACCAAAACCATACAGAGATACAATAGTGAAAATAGCAGATAAAATATAATTTTTTTTCTAAACAAAAAATTTTATAATCATCTGGAGGTTATAAAGATTTCACGTGTGAAATTTGACAATTTTTTGATGCGTAAAAGTATTTTTAATCATAATCTTAAAGCTTAATAACAAAAAATTTATATTTTATATAAGAAAGCTTCATAATGTTTACTGATAATCTGAAAAATTTTGTGAAAATATGCGTACTGTATTAAAAGTTATAATATGAAAATTATAGCAAACACAAAATGGTTACAAGGTCAGTCCATGAGACTGAAACCTTAGTGAGAGAGTTAAGGAAATATTATTATTATACATTCATTTGTAGTCCCTGTCTACTTGTGTGACTGAAAGAGTTCACTTATATAATAATGCTATTCCTAGATTTTGATCATATTTGTTACTCTATCTCTTCTTATCACTCTATATCCTGAAAATTTAAGCCTATTTGAATTATAAAACATAATTTCCTAAATACTAATATATTTGTATTAGTGCTAGTTAAATTGTCTTCGATCTTGTATCTTTTGGAAGCAAGACCACCTTGGATATTAATGTGTTGAACTATGAATTTGTAAGCAGAAAGTTAGTTTTTGTATTATAGGTGGAATGATTGGGGTGAAGTGTTTCTTTGATACTGAAATAAGTAGTGTAATGCTATTCTGTTGATTTTGTGAGTCTTGGAATGTACTCACGAACTCGAAACAGGTGTTTTGGGCTGCTACGATTACTAGATTATTTTCTGTATTTATTTTTTTGCTGATTGATATCTTTAATTTTTCCATTTGGAGTATGTTTTGTGATTGCTTGGTTTTCTGTTCATTATTTTTTTGGTTGTGTTTGTTTTTTCTTGTGGTTTATTTGTTTCTCAATGGATATTGTTTTTTGGTTGTGTGTAAACAGCTTCAGCATATGTGGTTGCTTGTGTATGAATTTGTTGCATTACAGGAGTGGTGTTTTATTTGTTGTTTGTGTTTTGTTCTTTTCTTGTTGTGTATATTCGTGTTTTAATTTCTTTGTATTTACTACAACCTTTGTAGTTTGCTGTGTGTACTTGTTTACAATTACATAAGAATGTATGATCAAGTTCTTTTGGACATTGTGATATGTGATGTTCTTCTCCACAACCCACACAACATGGTAGAGACTGTCACACCAGAGGACAATACCATTTGATATTACACTTTGTGTATTTTGTGTCTCATGAGTATGAAGTTTTATTATGTTTGTGTGTTCCTGTGTACAGTTGGATATAATTCTTGCAATCTTTGTGAAAGAAACATATTTTGTTGTTGTGACTCTTCCTATATTTGCTCGATTTCAAAATTGAAATAAACTCCTCTGTTAACAAATGTTTTGGTAGTTGGTTTAGTGCATGGCAAGTGAATGTTTATTTTACCAGGTTTAAAGGCATTCTTTGGCTACTCTCATTTTACATCATAATCCAACAATGGTTATTTTGAAATTGGCACACAGTTTTTGTCACTACTACCAGTAGTATTTTTGGTTGCTTGATCGACTATAGCACTTATGGTTGTTTTTTACCTAAGTATGTTATAATTAGATACAGTTAAACTGTATTTAGGTCTTATTTTTATATTTTAGTTAATCATGTATTAGTTGTGTTTTAAAATGCATAATTGAAAGGTTTAAACATTTTTTAAATATACACCATACTTTGTTAGTTCTCAAGGCTTATGATATTATGCGGTACACAAATATTTTGCAGAAGGGTTGCACATCTCTGCCAGAGGTACTGTAAAATACCCAAAAGGCATCGTTGACTTGTGTCAAAGTGAATAATAAATGGTTAAGGACAAGAAAGGAAAATAAAACATTAAAAATTAACTATATATGAAAAGGAAAAGACCTGAAATTATTAATACAACCAAAATAAGATCTTTAAAGATATTCTACAAAAAATTAAAAGGTATATACTTTTTTTTCTACTTCATAATTTTAAACATTTCATTGCATTGTACACTGATGATGATAGCTAGAGTTAATCATATGGTAGAGAAAATGAAAAATAAAATATAAACATTTACCTTAAAAAACATTTGATATTCATTTAGGAGGCTCTAGAGATCATGCAAATGAAATATGAAACTATAAGATGAAGAAAAGTATTTTTATACTTAAAATGAACTGTTCAAAGTTTGAGTGCAAATAACTACTACAGATAAATAACATTTTATTAGAAAGATGTAATTAAAACAATCTCATTCTTTGTCTTACCAGGTTTTGAGGATATCTCAGAGTTACCATATGTGTTGTTGCCTAAATATCCTTCCCCAGTCGAGCAGATACGAAACACATCTGCCCGTTTTTAAAGGTTTAATCAAACCAAACACTAGAGAAACAAGAGAAGATTTAAAAATAAATAGAATAATT